AGAGGGAGGGAGAGAGAGAGAGAGAGAGAGACGAGTGGTATAGGCAATGAATGGGAAGAGATGTTCACATAATGTTCATTGGAATCAATATCCATTGAAAGCATCGAAATATACCTGAATTGATAGAAACATTGACTCCCTTTGACTGAGAAATGGCAGAGTCTATAGTCGACAGTCGTGGGCCCGATATATGTTGATATCCTAATCAATAATTCATTTTATTCACTGATTAGGTGGTCGGGAGGGCCCATACAATAGGCACTCCATTATCACATATTTTGACGCGTTTTGTGTTCGCAAAGAGAGTGAAAAAATTATGAATAAAAGGCAAACTTTTGACAGATATATGAATAAAATAAAATGTGTTTCCAATCGGCGTTAACTATATATATGAAGGCAAAGAATTTAAGGTTAAAAACATAATTTCAATGTTGTACACAGAATAAGTAAAAAATTCTCAAGCTTTCACTCAAATAAAGTTTCATTTTTAGGATTTCCACTCACTGTATGTCAGATACTTTGGAAACCATGGGATCAATATTTGTGAGGACAACACATTAACGTAAAAATTTATGTTACTTTTCATTTCAAACAATAATTTTGGGGATTTTTTTAATTCACAAAAAGGTTTTTATGCATTATTTACAGAAGAGTTGTATTTTTGCATTTAAAAAATGAATGCTTTTATATATTACACAATTTGTAATTATATCACAAAACTATTTATATAATTGTCAATTGAGTACTAGTCCTCTAAATAGATGTTTTGCATAGAGAATAATACAAGAGTTGCCAATATGTAGGTAAGGCCACAGTATTTCTCTGTAACAAACAGGAAAGGTATCACATAATGATCACTAATATGATTGGTTTCATACCATTATCGGCGGTGCTATTAATGCCAACATTACTCTGAGCTTCAATCACCTCCTGATTCATAGTTCTGATGATCACCTGTTCCTGAAAGTCGGCGATCGTCCGATCAAACTGAGCCACACATCTGAGCTTTAGCTCCTGCATCTGGAAGTGATGCACTTCCATCACAAACATCAGCCCCAACACCAAATGACCTGTCTCATCCATGTTATATCTTACTAGTTGACTGGAGTTGACCTTTAAATTGCATTTCATAGAAAATCCTTATTAAATGCATTTCTATGTTACGATAAATATGTGACAAAAATGTTTAGTCTAGTGATAGGTATGTAAGGAATACGAGACATGTTTGTATCCATTAATTCATTGACAGATGATTGAGTTGTGCGTTAACCCTATTATCTGTATATTAGTGTTGTGTTGATATGAATTAAGTGATGTAATAAGTGTTAAGTAATGTCTACAATACCTGATCGTCATTAACAAACCATTTGAGTTGGGAGTCGTGTGCGGCCGTCGAGCAGTTCACGTTTAGTACATCATTCACATTGTATTTCTGTTTAACGCCTTTAATTACTGGTGTCTCTCTGTTATCCGACTGCAGAGACCAGTCTATACGACAATTGCAATAATCATTACATTTTCATATCAATACTATTTATATGCAGATTATATGTTATGAATCGGTGTTTTTGCATAACTTTTATGCAATACAATGTATTCAATTCTCGCTTTTTTCTCGATTCATACTAACAAATGAATGGTTGATTTCTTTTGTATTTTACAATACATTACATTAAATATCAAATAATGTTTAATATTATTATAAAAGAGTTCACTAATGCATATTACCCTATAATTTGGTTGAATATTAATGCAATTGATTTCGGAGTCATTTCACTAATTTTAGTATACGAGTAATTTTCAATA